ATGGATGGATGGATGGATGGATGGATGGATGGATGGATGGATGGATGGATGGACGGACGGACGGACGGACGGGCAGGCAGGCAGGCAGGCAGGCAGGCAGGCAGGCAGGCAGATAAATCCGTGCCAGTTTTCCCAGTTTGATAGGCTGGCCTTCCCAGATGGGCGTGCCCTCCAGATGTGGGGGCTCAGACTCCCAGAATTCTCAGCGTGCTGGGCATTCCAGGAACTGAAGTCCCCCCATCTGGAGGGTCGCCAAGTTTGGCTAAGTTGCTCCTTCTAGACTTCGGCGTTCGCTTAATGGTTTTGCCTTCGTCTTCTCGTTTGCCGATGAGAGCAGGTTCAACTCACCTTTGGCTCTTGCTTCCCTTTCTCTTCCCTGGAAATACAGGAAGGGACGTCAAAGTTTGCCACGCTGGAGATCAACCCCAAAAGAGCTCAGAAGCGCCAGCAGCAGCAGCGAGAAATGGTGAGTGTGTGTTGATGCGACGAAACCGTCTGGGCTCGGCTTCCCCAGCATGGGGCACCAGAGGTGTTGGCGGTGGCCAGAGATGACTAGGAATTCTGCAAGCTGCAACGTCGCAGAATCTGAAGCCAAGCTGGCAGTGTTCAGATCTGCCTGTCTTTAAGCCCAGAAGCCAACTGGGTGGCGCTGGGCGAACCTCTGGACGGAGTTCCTGGCAAGCCACTTTGGCAAACGCTGCCGAGAAAACGACAAGGCCTTATTCCTGTAATGGCCAGGAGTTGTATCAGAGAGCTGAAAAGTTTCTCTGGACGTGGAACGGCGCCCGCGCGCTTCTCGCCACCTCCTTGAAAAAAGCAGCGTCTTTTCCTTGGCCGTTCCGGGAACGGGATGCGTTGCGGTTAAGGAGGTGCAAAGTTGTGGTGCCAATCTTGGAAAAGATGCGCCTTCTTCAGGGAGGCAGTTGCAAGGGCGGAGCGTGCACCCAGGCCTGCTTCAAAGCACCTTTAATTAATTCATTTCTCCAGCCGCCCATCTCAACCAAGTGGCTCTTTAGATCCCAAGGAGAGGCTGGAGGCTGGACCGCGAGATTCCTGAGAGCTCATCCTGCTTTCCTGCCTCTCTGCCTCCTTCAGTGCTCCTAACACTGCTTGTCCCTTCCAGGGCGTAATGCAAGGGACGATCCCCTACCTGGGCACCTTCCTGACCGATCTGGTGATGCTGGACACGGCCATGAAAGATTATTTAGATGTAGGTACCCCCAGTCCCCTTTCTCCTTCTCTTCTCTCTTTGTGGTAAGGAACCATTTCGTTTCGGGGCTTTGCTGCTTCTGTTCTTTCGTTAACTTATTTCCTGCCTGCTTTTTTTTTTTTTAATTTGATGCTGGGGGAGGTCGTTGGGGTTTTTGTAAAACAGCAAAACAAGCTTTTTGTTAGGGAAATGGGCCTGATGGAGGCAAAAAGAGTGCACAGCGTCCCCTGGTGGGCGTATAATTTTCCTTTGCTATACATTTCAGCAAGGTTTAGTTATATTTCACTGGTTTTTGAAACCACTTGGCAGCATCCCTTAAAAAAAAAAAAAAACAGAAGCAAGAGAATTGTTTTCTCTTTATTTTTTGTTCAATTGATATCTCGCCTTTTCATCCGAAATTCATCTTCCAATTTTGTTCGCCACCACCATCCCAGGAGGTAAACTGGGCTGAGCAATGAACGATCATTGCTATAATGTGAGGGCCATGCTGGTGGAGATTTCTGGGAGATCTGATCCTCAGGGGATTCTGGGAAATCCGTGTCAGTTACTGCCTTATTGCAGTAAAATGACTTTTTGGTCATTTTATATTTGGAGTCATGGCCGTATCTTGTCTGATTCCTTGTTTTCTTATTTTACTTGTCTTACATGCCTTTTTTTTAAAACAAAATCCTGTCTCTGGCTGTAAATAAATACATACTTATCCTTTGCTACGGTCGCTGATTCTTCTTCCCTGAAGAAAATGCCCCCATTTCTGTTTTTAAAGCTTTCTCATCTCTTAGATGTTAAGAAATTAAGGAATGGGATCGAGTTGGGATATTAAGGATCTGGGTTTTTTCCCTTTCTTTTTCAGGGAGGTCTGATCAACTTTGAGAAAAGGAGGAAGGTGAGACATTTGTGATCGTGGTTGTTACTGTAGTTCGTGCTGAAGGGCCCCAATTATCTTGAGGAAGGGGGAGAACAGTGGGGTGTGTGGGGGAAAACCCAGAAGGACAGGCTGGAATCGCATCTTCTCAAAGAGGTCCTGGTTGACTGGCTGGCTGTCATCTTCAGAAGAAACCCTCCCCTGGAGCTTGATTAAATCCACCCTCACGTCGCTGCTGGTTTTAAAGTTGTGGTTCTGTTGGGCTTTGTTTTTTTAAACACCCCCCTACACAAACTTGCTCGCTGTTCCTGCAGGAATTTGAAGTGATCGCTCAGATCAAGCTGCTTCAGTCGGCCTGTAATAATTACAGCTTCAGGAAGGAAGATCGTTTCGGTGCCTGGTTTCACAGCGTGGAACGGCTCAGCGAAGCGGAGAGGTGAGTTGCATCACCTTCCCCAGGGCTGCAAATGAAGATTTTGCATTTATTCCCCCTGCCCCTGCTGTTTCTTCTTCACGGGGATGAAGAAGAATCCGCTTTAGAAATGTCTTCTAAATGTCTGTGGGGGCAATTCTTGGGCATTTTTATAGGCTGCTCTGAAACTTAATGACAAGGGGAAGGTGTGAATGGGTATATTTGAGAGCGAGAGAGAGAAAAATCTGCTTTTCGTATTTATTTATTTATATTTCAAGTTTAGATACCACCCATCCCATGAAAAAGGGACTCTCTATTCTCATGCCAACAGTCTGCCCTCTTCCGGGCTTCTGATCCCAAAGTAAAACCTCCCCAGGGGATTGACCCACTGGGAAATGTGGACAGCCTTCAGAGGGATGGAAAGAGGGGTCACAAAACACAGGGCAGCTTGTAGTCATGCCCTTTGCTGCTTCTAGGCAAAAAAAATCAGCTCCGGAGAGAAATTTGAAAGAATGAGCTAGAAAAACAGAAACCTCTTGAGAGAATGAGGTAGAAAAACAGAAGCCTCTTTCAGAGAGGGGAGAACAAAAATGCAGAGAAGTGGTAGATTTTTGACAAAGCATTATTCTTCTCCGTTCTCCACCCTCTGTCTAGTCCCCCCTCCCATCCCCATGACACCCGCGTAGATTTTGCACAAAGCAGATGGCTTTTCAAAGGATGGTGTCTTCACTTCAGCTTTGGTTAGAATCCCTATTGGTGCTCCGCCACCGTTCCCTTGAGGATCAGAAACTTGGCTTTTTAAAAACAGGGTGGGTTTAAGTTCAGACGGTGTGCGATGCACCTGGATACGGAATCTCTGCCTGAATCAGGCAGAGGGGAAGCCAAACATGAGTGGGATTTGCAACCTTGCAGGGTGGCCTAGAAGTATTTCTCTCTTTGCTGCTCCCCCCACAAAGAAACGCAAAGAAAAATCTCCCGCCCATGGGGGCTAAATGTTTGTTGGCCTCTCCCCCTTCTGCTTTCAGCTACAGCCTTTCGTGTGAAATCGAACCCTTGTCGGAATCTGCGAGCAACACGCTGAAAGCAAAGAAGAACACCGGCATCATTAAACGGTGGAGCGAGTAAGTTGGGGGCCTGGTGGCCAAGGGCCCTAAGGGCAAAATTGCTGTCACCCACCCGGGGCCCGTGGGATAAAGCCGTCGATAAACAGGAGAGGACCTGTTTAGGTTGAGTTGGTGGCCAAGAATCCGGGAGAGATTCACTTTAGCTAGCTTGGTCATTCATCTGCCCCTCTCGCTCCTTCATCCACTGGAGAAATGGTCTGTTTGATGGAATGTCAGCCTTCCCAAGTAGGCCAGACAGGAAAGACCACCAGATGAGCTAATTCTACATTATTGTAAGGCTACATTAACAGAATCCCACAAGTCTGAACATACAACTCTCCCCCCGTCTCCTTTACAGCCTGAGAAACTAGGGAGGGTCCCTTCTGAGCCTTTCTCCACCCATTATGCTGCTGAGGGCTCAGCTCCCTCTTATCTGACCATCGCCTTGGCAGGGTCTCTTGGTACAGCCTCCCAAGGTCTTTCCCACATACTATCAGCCCTCCCAGGTAAATCAAACAGGAAGCACGACCAGATGAGCTAATTCTACATTATTGTAAGGCTACATTAACAGAATCCCACAAGTCTGAACATACAACTCTCCCCCCGTCTCCTTTACAGCCTGAGAAACTAGGGAGGGTCCCTTCTGAGCCTTTCTCCACCCATTATGCTGCTGAGGGCTCAGCTCCCTCTTATCTGACCATCCCCTTGGCAGGGTCTCTTGGTACAGCCTCCCAAGGTCTTTCCCACATACTATCAGCCCTCCCAGGTAAATCAAACAGGAAGCACGACCAGATGAGCTAATTCTACATTATTGTGCGGCTACATTAACAGAATCCCGCAAGCCTGTAAATACTACT